GCTGTGTCTTGTAGAAGGGGGGATTCGAGGTCGAGGTCGAGGAGGATCAGGACGGTGAAACTGTGGGAGCAGGAGGATGAGCTGGAGGAGAGGGCGAAGGAAGCGGAAGAGGTGAAGCTGGTAGGAAATGGACGAGTGATAACGTGGATGAGGAGGAGGAGGACGAGGAAGAGGATGAGGAGGAGGACGGGGAACAGAAACGGAGGGAAATGAGGCTGAGCAGGGGATCGACGATCGAGTTTTTTTTGTGCAAACCATGTTTTTTTGTCCATGAGCGTCACTGTGGCCACGGCTAGATCTGTCTCGAGAGTCTGGTCAGAACGCACCCCAGGAGGATGTTGAAGAGGAGGCCACCCGCTCAGCGCCAACGTGGAGTACCTCCCTCAGTGCCACTGGCTCGTGCCCGGCCTTCAGCTTCACCTACCGTGGCAGCGGCCTCAGGAGCGGCAGCAGTTGTCCCACCCGAGGAGCAACCGCAACGCCGCGATTACGGCAACGTGCTCATCCCAGTCAGCGGCGGCAACGTCAGCGCCAGCGGCCAGCGAGGCGCAGGACACAGTCACTCTAGTACCAACGGGGAGCTCACAGGGCCAATCAGAGCAGGGGCCGATGCCAACGATTCCACTACCGTCAGCCGTGCAGCAGGAGCTGGCTGCACCACCGGCACCAACACAGTCTCAAGGTTCAGCGCTGCGCGAGAGTGGGTCGCGCTTGGACACTGACTGCGGAAGCAGTGACTTTCAGGCGGCCTGGTGGAATAGATCGTAGTCCACTTCCACCAGAACGAGGAGCCAGCTCGTCAGTAAATCGTCCAGAGCTTGGCTTGACAGCGCCGACGGCGAGCTAGCGACGTTGTGTTTCTTTTTAGAAGGTCGCGACCTATCGCTTGATGCGTTGACGGTTCCCGCGCCAAGCCGGATGTGAACGAGGAGTGGCGTAGCATCGTCGATTATCTCATGCTGCTTTTAATCGGGTTCTGCGGATATTAAGATGCTGCCGCTTCGATCGTGGCCGTTCGGTATCGAGTTTATACGGCTCCTTCCCTGCCACCTCTCGCCGCCGCTACCTCCTTGCCGCCGTGCGCTCGCTGGCCGTCATGGGTTTTGAATTTTCTTTACTGCAGCTGTTTGGATTGCGAGGTGAAAGTGCCGCTTGCGTGCCCGCTTCTCCTCTGGTCGGCGGGCTGGCGCGTACATACATAGTCGTTTGAATTATTCACTCATCGTAGTCTCTGCTTACCATACTGTTTTAGAGAACCATGCCAGCTATGAGCGAGCCAACCACTGGGAGTGGATATCAAACCATGATACGACAAAACGTACCATTGAAAATGTCAGAATTCATTGAAAGTCGGCCGAAAAAACGGATTATCAGCCGAAAACTCCCGTTCTGTTCACAATTCTGATTTGGTCCATCAGCCACGTGGCGGGATACGACCCATGGTGCCGATCGAATCGTTCTTAGTACACATGCCGAGTCATTGTACCGACAGTTCGAGGGAGAATAATGAGATGGACTTCGATCAAGAGTTGTCCGCGCTTAGTGGCTCCGAGACTAGCTCGCTGAGCTCGTCGTTGAAAGCTGATTGACGTAGCCCGGCAAGTGGGGCTGCCGGTTTAACAGGTCGTCCAGCTGCGTTTCGTGTTTTGAAGCCAGGAAAGAGTGCTGGGCTACGGGGGGGTGGTTTAAGCATTCCTCGGGTGTTCCAAGCATACTTTCTGGGGAAGAGGCTCTTGCGGCGAAAATTAGTCAGTCGCTTGTTGACGCGTTAAGCTTTCTGGAAGTCGATTCATTCAAGCATCCCAGGGGCCGGCCGGACATGCGCCATTCCCAGAAAGGCGGAAGACGCGCTCCGACGATATCAATGCAGTGGTGTCTCATTGCCCCGCGCTTCGTGAGGGAAACAGGACTGAAGAGGACATCTTTGACATGGTGGGTTCAACCAGTCAAGTCCAACGCTCTTCCAGGGGGGATGGAGGTGAATCTTGTACCCTTCCCACCTAGATCCCCAATGCCATCGAGACGCGCCCAGCACGGCTCACAAATGATAGGTTGCACTAGGTCATGGAGCAGTTGAGCATGTCGTAGTTTTCCGGGAAATCCATCGACTAGCATGCTCTTTATTTGTTGGAACCACGCGCCCAGTTGCCCGGCGACGGCGGAGAGCCGGTGCCAGCGTAAACGGTCCATGCCGTAGGCCAGTTTGTGAAGCGCGCTCCTTCGCGTGCAAACGTTGCCATATTTGTTGGGGTTCTAGGGGCTGTGGTGGGATGCAAGAGCACGGCTGCCAGCATCTCGAGATTGCGGCATGGCAACAGAAGGGGCAGGGAAAGGCCGCTACGAAGGGACAACTTCTCAGTGAGCAGATGGCTGCTCAGGTGGAACAACAGATGGCCATGTTTGAGCGAGCGAGAGAACGATTGATGTCGGTTGCTCGGAGTGCCAATCCAATTCGGCAGGTGGCCTTGGGTGCAGTTGAGCTGGCTCTGCAGGTGGCTGAGGCTGAGAAAAAGAAGATTGAGGAAGCAGCAAGAACGGCAATCTTGGAGGAAGAACGGATGTCCGCGATTCTCAGATGTCGCAAGAAATAGAGTGGACCCGAGTGGATGCATCTGTTTCTGAGCAGATGGTGGCGGCATTTCTTCGTTCACGAGCAGCTCATGCTGCCGGCGTAGCGCAGCAGGGAAGGGAGAAAGCGAGCGCGGTAATCCAGCGGGCATCTCTCAGGGAGCATGCCGCCATGATTGGAGCTATGCTAATCAGCGGAGACATGATCAGACAAGGAAGCGCGCAAAACAATCTCGAGCTTCTCCCCTCGGAAGTCGCGCAGTAGCGGAAGGAGAGGCAAGGGGTGCTGGCCGCGCTTCAGGTTCAACTTTGGGCGTCGGACAGCATCCTTTGGCCGCCTAAAATCCAGTGTCTCCTTCTTGGACAGACGCTTGGGTTCAGCCTTCGAGGTCGCCCCAGGCGTGTTCGGCCTCCTCGCGCGGGTTGCCCTGCTGCTGTTCCGACGCAGTCGGTTGGCAGCGGGGAAGGCATTTCCCCGGGGGGTGCCGGGCGCTCGCGGTTGCTGCGGGCATCCGGGGGCAGGAGCGGTCCGCTAGAGAAGTGCAATTTCTTTTTGCTGCCTATGCGGTGCGCCGCGCTGGAGCGCCCATATCGACGCAGTCACGAAGAGATGCGCTTTTTGTTCTCCAGAGAAAGGCCAAGGCCGAAGCTGAAGCTGAAGAAAAGCGGTTGGAGGAAGACGAGAAGCTGGGGGCTTTGCCAGCCGGGGGCAGAAATGCAACAAACCCGCTCTCATCCGCGCAGTGATGCTGATGATGACGATGATGTGGATGAGGACGGGGATGAGGATGCTAATGATGCTGATGCTGATAGTGATGCTGACGATGATGATGAGGATGATAATGCTGATGATGATGTGGAGGAGGAGGAAGAGGAGGGAGGGTAGAAGGAGGAAGAGGCGGAGGTGGAGGATGATGATGATGAGGAGGAGGGGGAGGGGGAGGATGATGATGGCGATGATGATGACGATGAATACGATGATGATTACGATGATGATGCTAACGTTGATGCTGATGCTTATGCTGATGATGGTGATGATAATGCTGATGATGATGATGATGATGATGATTATTATTATTATTATCATGCTGATGATGGATACGATCCTGGTGATGATGATGAGGAGGATGATGCGGATGATGATGCTGATTACGATGATGTTGATGTTGATGCTGATGCTGGTGATGGTGATGATGGTAATGATGACGACGATGATGATGAAGATGATGATGGTGGTGATGATAATGATGATGATGATGCTGGTGATGGTGATGATGGTGATGATGACGACGAAGGTTATGATGATAATGCTGATGACGATTTTGCTTATGATGATGCCCATGAAGATGATGATGATGGGTGGTGATGATGATGATGGTGGTGATGGTGATGATGATGCTGATGATGCTGATGATTGTGATGATGACGACAATGCTGATGCTGATGCTGATGCTGATGGTGCTGATGATGCTGATGATGCTGCTGATGATGATGATGGTGGTGATGATGATGATGCTGATGATGATTGTGATGATGATGACGATGCTGATGATGACGTTGATGATGATGATGCTGCTGATGATGATGGATAGGATGATTCTGCCTATGATGCTCATGATGGCAAGGATGGTGATGATGGTGATGGTGATGCTGGTGATGATGGTGATGATGGTGATGATGATGCTGATGATGCTGATGATGATGATGATGATGATGATGATGGTGCTGCTGCTGTTGTTGCTGTTGCTGCTGTTGCTGCCGCTGATGCTGATGATGATAGGGATGGTGACGGTGATGGTGGTGGTGATGATGAGTATGATGATGATGCTGAATGCTGATGCTGATGTTGCTGATGCGGATGTTGCTGTTGTTGTTGTTGATGATTAAGCTGATGGTCATGTTGCTGATGATGGCGGTGTTGGTGGTGGTGGTGGTGGCCCGATGCGGTTTCTGCTGGTCATGCTGGTGATCATGATCCTGATGATGATGCCGATGCTGATGCTGATGATGCTGATGATGCTGATGATGCTGATGATGCTGCTGATGATGATGCTGATGATGATGCTGATGATGATGATGCTGCTGATGATGATTACGATGATGCTGATGACGATGCTGATGATGCTGATGATGCTGATGATGATTACGATGATGATGCTGACAATGCTGATGTTGATGATGATACTGCCGATGCGGCTGATGCTGCTGATGATGATGCTGATGACGATGTTGATGCTGCTGATGCTGATGCTGATGATGATGATGATGACGACGACGATGATGATGATGATGATGATGATGATGATGATGATGATACTGATGATGATGACGACGACGAAGATGCTGAAGACGATGACGATGACGATGACGATGATGATGATGCTGATGTTGCTGATGATGACGACGTTGACGATGATGCTGATGATGATGAT